TCCACACTCTCTTATTTCTTCTTCTCCCGTAGATTCTGACGCAGAGAGTTCTGTGGAAGAAGAATATGACAGTTCGACTGTCTGTAAAGATGATGTAGCCTCACTTACCATCTTCTGTCTCCTATTTTCTTCCTGCGGTTCCTACTTCACTATCTTCTCTACCTTACTTTCTTTTTTTCTTATTGACAGATTGCCAGCTGAACTAGCGAGAAAGCCCGGTTCTCTTCGTTCTTCATGGTGGAAAGAGCACTCACTAGCTAGAAAAGAAAAAAAAAACGAACCAACACGTTAGAAACGGATAATAAACGATTGGGGGGGGGGTTGGAGGTATTTCGCGACATGATAAGGGTTCTGGACTGCCTGAAACAGCGTCTCATTTCTACTTTAAAGTGGTGAGTAAGTTGTGAGGAGGAGTAGCAGTAGTGATGTTGTGTGTGTGTGAATTATGTACTTGGTGCAGCGACTGTCTTCCCGTCACTGTTGTCTCTGACAGCTGCCTCAGGTACTGACCCGCATCACCTCCACCTGCTTTGTATGCAGACGAGAGTGTTGAGTGTGTACTCACCTAATTGTACTCACCTAATTGTGGTTACAGGGGTCGAGACTCAGCTCCTGGCCCCGCCTCTTCACTGATCGCTACTAGGTCCATTCTCTCTCGGCTCCCTGAGCTTTGTCATACCTCGTCTTAAAGCTATGTATGGTTCCTGCCTCCACTACATCACTGCAAGACTATTCCACTTCCTGGCAACTCTATGACTGAAGAAATACTTCCTAACATCCCTGTGACTCGTCTAAGTCTTCAGCTTCCAATTGTGACCCTTGTTTCAGTGTCCCCTCTCTGGAACATCCTGTCTCTGTCCACCTTATATATTCCCCGCAGTATTTTGTATGTCGTTATCATGTCTCCCCTGACCCTCCTGTCTTCCAATGTCGTCAGGCCGATTTCCCTCAACCTTTCATCGTAGGACATTTCCCTGAGCTTTAGAACTAACCTTGTCGCAAACCTTTGCACTTTCTCTAATTTCTTGATGTGCTTGACAAGGTGTGGATTCCAAACTGGTGCTGCATACTCCAGTATGGGCCTGACGTACACAGTGTACAGTGTCTTGAACAATTCCTTACTACGTTATCAGAACGCTATTCTCAGGTTTGCCAGGCGCCCATATGCTGCAGCAGTTAGTTATCTGGTTGATGTGTGCTTTCGGGGACGTGCTCGGTGTTATACTCACGCCAAGATCTTTTTCTTTGAGCGAAGTTTGCGGTCTTTGGCCACCTAGCCTATACTCCATCTGCGGTCTTCTTTGCCCTTCCCCGATCTTCATGACTTTGCATTTGGCAGGGTTGAATTCGAGAAGCCAGTTGCTGGACCAGGTGTCCAGGTCTCTTTGTAGTCCTGCCTGATTCTCATCTGATTTGATTCTCTTCATTAACTTCACATCATCTGAGAACAGGGACACTTCTGAGTCTCTCCCTTCCATCATGTCATTCACATATACCAAAAATAGCACTAGTCCAAGGACTGACCCCTGTGGAGCTCCGCTCGTCACAGGTGCTCACTGTGATACCTCATCACGTACCATGACTCGTTGTTGCCTCCCTGTCAGGTATTCTCTGATCCATTGCAGTGCCCTTCCTGTTATACGCGCCTGATCCTCCAGCTTCTGCACTAATCTCTTGTGAGGAACTGTGTCGAAGGCCTTCCTGCAGTCCAAGAAAATGTGATCAACCCACCCCTCTCTCTTGTGTCTTACCTCTGTTACTTTGTCATAAAACTCCATAAGGTTTGTGACACAGGATTTGCCTACCATGAATCCGTAGTTGTCTTTTATAATCTTGTTCCGTTCCAGGTGCTGCACCACTCTCCTCCTGATAATTTTCTCTATGACTTTGCATACTATACACGTCAGTGACACTGGTCTATAGTTCAGTGCCTCTTTTCTGTCTCCTTTTTTAAAAATGGGAACTACTTTTGCCGTCTTCCGTATCTCAGGTAGTTGCCAAGTTTCAAGGGATGTGTTGAAGTTTGTGGTTAGTGGCACACACAGCATTTCTGCTCCCTATCTAAGGACCCACGGGGAGGTATCCGGTCCCATTGCCTTTGAGGTATCAAGGTCCCTTAGCAGCTTCTTCATCTCCTCCTCAGTTGTGTGTATGTCATCCAACACTTGTTGGTGTCCCCCTCTGTTCTGTCCTCCCAGAGGCCTTTCTGTCTGCATTGTAAATACTTCCTTAAATCTCATGTTGAGCTCCTCACATACCTCTTGATCGTTTCTTGTGAGTTCCCCACCTTCTCTCCTTAGCCTAATCAACTGGTCTTTGACTGTTGTCTTCCTCCTAATGTGACTATACAGCAGTTTCGGGTCAGACCTATGTCGATTTCGTACTGTCGCTGGGCCTCCCTCCTTATCTGTGCATACTTGTTTCTGGCTCTTCGACTAGTCTCACTGTTTTCCTGGGTCCTTTGCCTCCTGTATCTTTTCCATTCTCTGGTGCACTAAGTTTTTGCCTCCCTAAGCCTTCGGGTAAACCAAAGACTCGCTTTGGTCTTCCCATTATTTCTATTGCCCTTGGGAACAAACCTTTCCTCTGCCTCCTTGCATTTTGTTGTTACATATTCCATCATCTCGTTCATTGACTTTCCCACCAGTTCTCTGTCCCACTGAACCTTTTGCAGGAAGTTCCTTATACCTGTGTAGTCCCCCCGTTTATAGTCTGGCTTTTCCCACCCAACTTCTGTTATCCTCTCCACTTGTAACTCAACTATATAGTCAAAACTCAGAACCACGTGATCACTAGCTCCAAGGGGCCTCTCATATGTGATGTCCTCAATGTCTGAACTGCACAGGGTGAACACAAGGTCCAGTCTTGCTGGTGTGTGTGTGTGTGTGTGTGTGTGCGTGTGTGTGTGTGTATGTGTGTGTGTGTGTGTGTGTGTGTATGTGTATTTGTGTGTGTGTGTGTATGTGTGTGTGTGTGTGTGTGTGTGTGAGTGTGTGTGTGTGTGTTTTGTGTGTGTGTGTGTGTGTGTGTGTGTGTGTGTGTGTGTGTGTGTGTGTGTGTGTGTGTGTGTGTGTGTGTGTGTGTGCAATATACATTACAGAGTTTCCTTACTATGTTTCCCATCATTTATGGAAATTCCTGATGACCTGATAGGACAGAGATCGAGTTCTAATTGGCGTAGTGGATCCAGCCTCCAACATTTACTACAGTGAGTCTCCGCATCTCACTGCACTCAATAATCTGCAGAATTTCATGCTCATCTTTCATCACTGAGCATGTGGACTGCCTTTAAAGTTCATCAGAGAGCATGATTAAGTTTATTTAAGGGAAAATTTGAAATTGTGAAATGTACTATAAAGAAGAAAATTGGCTATGAAATAACATATGACTTATTTAATTCCAAATGAGAGAAAAAACTCTCTTCAGAGCGAGTTTGGTAAAAAAAAATAAAAGACTTCTTTTGAAGTTACAGCAATGGAAAAAAAACCCACATGAAGGAATAAACACTTCCAATGTGAATTGAACAAAGACTCTGGACAAATCCGATACTTTAAAGTGTTGGAGCATAAACTTTGCCTCAGAGAAATAGTCTCGCTTGATCCCATTGGTTTTATAGTTGCTGGATGTGTTTGGTCCCGGTGGTTTTATAGTGGAAGTGTTTGGTCCAGTGGTCTTATGGCTGGGAGTGTTTGATCCCAGTGGTCTTTGGAGGTTCGATTTTACTACCAATGGTCTCTGTAATCCTTGCTATAGACACTGATAAAACAAATTAAAACATCAGTTTTATTGGCAATATCAGTGACTAACATCCGCTCATTGACTGAAGCTTGTATAGCATGACGTTGTCAGACTCATCGGGACTCACTGCTACGACTTCTGCTCTGTCATCAGGCACTAGAGCCTTTTTCTACAGGTATTCCCTCTTGTCCTGATATAATAAGCTTACGTCTATGCGTGTTCTCGTGGTTTAAATCCGTGTCCTGTTGAAGATATTTGTATAACATGTCTCTTGTAAAGCTTACCTCCTGTCTTCATCCTTCGTCTCATTTATAGGAACTATTTCAATTTCAGTCGTTGAAGAGAACAGCAGGTATTGTGTTATAGGTTTATTTTGAAACGTTTTCTTAATTTAGATGTGTGCTGTAGTTGCCTCGGCCCCCCCCCCCCCAAAAAAAAATCTTAAGAAGCCAAAATAAAATTTAACAAATAAAGTGTAATTGGTTGTGGTATTAGATTTCACTTCCGGGATCAAGAGCTAGAGCTCTACTTCACCCGGCAAGGCTCATACAGGTAAATACAAGTAGTCAGTTACACATACCAAAGCAAATGTTCTTAGTGTGAACAAATTCGATTGCTTTCATACATGTTGAACCACTCAGTTACCCCTCTCACTTACCCCTCTCATTCACCCCTCTCACACACCCCTCTCACACAACCCTCTCACTCACTCCTCTCACACACCCCTCTCACTCACCCTCTCCCAAACCCCTCTCACTCACCCCTCTCACTCACCCCTCTCACTCACCCCTCTCACTCACCCCTCTCACACGTCCCTTTCACACCCCTCTCACTCACCCCTCTCACACATCCCTCTCACACACCCCTCTCACCCCTCTCACACACCTCTTTCACACACCCCTCTCACTCATCCCTCTCACACATCCCTCTCACACACCCCTCTCACACACCTCTTTCACACACCCCTCTCACTCACCCCTCTCACACACCCCTCTCACACACCCCTCTTACCCCTCTCACACACCCCTTTCACACACCCCTCTCACTCACCCCTCCCACACATCCCTCTCACACACCCCTCTCACCCCTCTCACACACCTCTTTCACACACCCCTCTCACTCACCCCTCCCACACATCCCTCTCACACACCCCTCTCACACACCCCTCTCACATATCCCTCTCACATACCCCTCTCACTCACATAATTAGCACTCATGATAACTGATTACTTTCTTTTTCAGGTACTGAGGATCATTTCTCTGGATCACAGCCTGACCCTGTTAGTGTCTTGGGCGACACACAGACACACTTGCTGTCTTCCTGCTGTCTTCGACACTCTGAGAAACTTGTTGTCTTCCCCAGACAACGGGAGTCACCAATGAAGAAAAATGGGATAAGAAAAAAACACGATAACAGAAAACACAGTTTATGTAAGAATGTAAATGAATATTTGCCCTTGTTCTGGGAGACCGGAGTCACAGTATCCGAGAATCTCTCGAAGCTCATATTATACCAGTTCATGAAATCCTGAGAGAATAAACACGTGTGGTACTTAATTGAGTTTAAAAGCAAATTCAATTCAACGCATATAAAAAATCGTGCGAGTTTTTTGGAAATTAGACACGAAACTTCAAGTTATAAAAGTGTTAATAGTTGTTGTCAGTTCTTTCATGTATAAAGGATATATGCACCCGCACGGAAAGAAATTTTGCAAGTCGTTTTAATCAATTTTTATAATCTAAAGAGGTGTATGTGAGAGACCAGGAGCTAATAGCATCATGACAGTCTCGGGAGAGGAGATGAGAGGTCTAACCTCCACCGCAAGAGACACACTAGAACCACTGGTCACTTCAATCAGTGTTTTGGGGCGAGAGAGAAACATGTCAGCTTTCTTGTCTAGCACAGAGGTATCTTTGGGGATTCAAGGATCTCCTGAGTCAGCTGTCTCGACGGATGCTCCACAAGGAAAGACGACCCATGTTAACGACAACACCGACTTCTTCACCTACCTCAGCGAGCAGGCATCAGCTGTGACGAACCAAGTCACTTTCAACCTGGAAACTGGACAGAGCTCTGCTGCCAACACTTATCACCTCCTCAACCACACTAACACCACCTTCTTCTCCTTGGATCAACTCGACTATGACTATCTGGATAACTTGAACGACTCACTGGGTTCCAATTACAGCGACTACGAACTGTCCCTGGACGACCTGCTGTACCGTCACTCCTTCAACACTGGGGCGCTGCTCTGTATCAGCTACGTTATCGTCTTCATCCTTGGACTGGTGGGCAACTGCTTCGTAATCGCTGTCGTCTTCAGGTGAGTACTATCCTCCTCTCTCTCTCTCTCTCTCTCTCTCTCTCTCTCTCTCTCTCTCTCTCTCTCTCTCTCTCTCTCTCTCTCTCTCTCTTCACTCTCACAGTTATCTCACTTTTCTTTCACAGTTATCTCACTTATGTTTCATAGTTATCTAACTTATCACTCTTATCTCTCACACTTGTCTCTTATTTTTCACAGTTACTTCTCTCACTTATCTCTCACAGCTATTTCTCTTATCTCTCAGACTTCTCTCTCTCTCTCTCTTTCTTATCTCTCACAGATCTCTGTCTTGTCTCTCAGTTATCTTCATTATCTCTCACAGTTACCGTCATTATTTATCACAGTTATCATCATTATCTCTCACAGTTATCTTCATTATTTCTTACAGTTATCTTCATTATTTCTTACAGTTATCTTCATTATTTCTTACAGTTATCTTCATTATCTCTCACAGTTATCTTCATTATCTCTCACAGTTATCTTCATTATTTCTTAGTTATTTTCGTTATTTCTCACAGTTAACTTCATTATTTCTCACAGTTGAAAAACAGACAAATGTACAACATTTGGGTATCTTTATTGTAGACGTTATGCCATCCAGTGGCTTTATCAATACAAATTAAAGGATATAAATGAAAGACAGAAGAACTATATACAAAAGATGAGGTAATCAGTCCCTCAGCCAGCTTAGTTCATATTTCGCGCCATGCTGGTGCTGCCACCTATAGGCGTTGCCACTTCAGCCTGCCTGCCCTTGCTCACTCTCACTCACACAGCGGCCTAGCAGGAAGACACAAGGCCTACACCTAGCTCTCTCTCGTGGAATGGCCCGGCCCGGGCCATGGGCACAACACACAAGCCTGTGTACCCACCACGACTTAATAAACAAAGAAGCCTCCGAAGAAGACGTATCATTTACTCCCCGCTACCAGAACACTAAACAAACTCGTTATAACCCACAACACCACCAACACCCACAACACCACCACCAACCACAACACCATCACCACCCACAACACCCACAACACCACCACCACCCAAAACACCACCCCTCACATCACCACCACCACCAACACCATCACCACCCCAACACCACCACCCACAACACCACCGCCCACAACACCACCAACACATCCAACAACACCACCAACACCCACAAACACCACCACCACCCCACAACACCGCCAACACCCACAACACCACCAAACACCCACAACACCACCACCACCCACAACACCAACACCCACAACACCACCAACACCCACAACACCACCAACACCCACAACACCACCACCACCCACAACACCAATCACACCACCCACAACACCACCAACACCCATAACACCACTACCCACCCCAAACCACCACCACTCATACACCACCACCGCCAACACCATCACCACTCACAACACCACCACCCACAACACCACCAACCACCCACAACACCATCACCACCCACAACACCACCACCACCCACAACACCATCACCATCCACAAACCATCACCACCCACAGCACCACAACCACCCACAGCACTGCGACCACCCACATGCCACCACCCTCAATACCACCCCCATACCACAACATATCACCACCACAGTACCACCACCCACAAAACCAACACCACCACCTACAGCACACCACCCACCAACCACCACCACAACACCACCACCACTACTACAACCCAGGTACTCAAGGCCTGTCAGCCTGGGTGTAAAGGGAGCAAAATAAACAGAAAAAAACCTTGAATTATATTATCCTTCACCAAGTATAAACAGAAGTATGTATACTATATACACTAATACCTATTGTACAACAATAGGTATTAGCGCATGCCATGATAATTAAGGCAGAGCAGCAGCCAAGAGACAAAAACAGACCACCATGCTTCAACCAGCTGTAGAATGAAGATGACAAGGGTGAAAATGTGAGTGGTAGCCACGTCACCTTCACAATTGCCAGATCCACATTATGATTGGTTGAACCTAGATACTGATCTGACGATGGGGCCCCGATCGTCAGACTCTTAGTGATCTGGTTCGCTGGTTGGTGTTAACATCCTTCGAATAAAGGTTACATACTCTTTGCAAGAAACACCCCCCCTCCCTCAAGAGGGCTCAGAACTAGGTTTCCACCTTAATGGGTAAAAAGTACCGCCATGGCACAGTGCAATGGAACCGACTTTCCTCTCAACCATCCAATTCATTAGATAGAGCTCAGCATTTATCACGACATAAAGCCAAATTCTAAACTTAGAGCGAGACAGCAGACAGTAGGGCTAACTTAGGTCCAAGGTACCTGCGGACATTAGCAGAATATCTCCTCACTAAAAAAAAAAAAAAAAAAAAAAACACATAATTAAATATTCCTTATATACAAAAGGGGGGGGGAAAAAGCTCATATTTTTTTTTTTACCCAAAGTCCCTAACACATCCTAATCTAATTGATGCGAGGCAATGCATCAGCCAGCGTATTTTCTTTGCCAGCAATGTGATGCAATTTAATGTTGTACGGTTGCAGCCTGATGCACCACTTCATGAGTCTTGTGTTATGGTTCTTCATATGTTGTAGGTAGACCAGAGGATTATGGTCACTATAGAGTGTGATCACCTGAGAGGTCTGGCCCACATATACTTCAAAGTGCTCCAAACTAGTATCAGAGCGAGGGCTTCTTTTTTAATTGTGGAGTAGGCCCTCTGGTGCGGCTGGTACTTTGCGGAGAAGTAAGCCACAGGCTGTCACCCATCGTCCTCAGATTGCAGAAGTACTTCCCCCACCCCAGACTCACAGACATCAACCTGTAATGTAAAGGGTTAGGAGAAATCAGGAGACAGGAGAATGGATGCAGTACAAAGGAGTAACTTAATTTTAGCGAATGAGTCTTGACACTCTGAGGCCCACTTAAAGGGGACTTTATGACTGGTAAGTGAGGTTAGAAGGGCTACAATATCTGAATTTTTTTTACAGAATCTTCTATAAAATCCTACCATACCTAGGAAACGTTGAAGAAATTTCCTATCCTGAGGTACTGGATAGTTTTTAATGGCAAGAATTTTTTGCAAATTTAGGGGCCACTTTGCCACTACCTACTTCATGGCCTAAAAAATTAACAATAGCCTGGCCAAAGGAAGACTTAGATAAGTTTACAGTTAAGTGGAAAATCTGGAAAGTCTCAAAGAGAGCCTTATGTTGGTCCCAAGTATCTGACACTATAACTATGTCATCTAGATAAGCTGCCGTGCCTTCAAGTCCTTTAATAGCCTGATGGATCAGTTTCTGGAATGATGCGGGAGAGTTTTTCATTCTGAATGGGGTAACTGTATATTTATAATGACGTGGAATTACGAAGGCAGAGATTTCCTTCGCCTTGTCTGTCAAAGGTACCTGATAGTAACCTTTAAGGAGGTCTAACTTGGACACAAAAGTAGCCTTACCCACAAAGTCGATTACATCATCCAGACGTGGCAGAGGGTAAGCATCTGCAATTGTGACCTCATTCACCTTACGGTAGTCTGTACACATTCGAAAACCTCCATCAGCTTTCTTAACAAGCATGCATGGTGAAGCCCACGGACTAGATGACTCCTCCACTAACCCATGCTCTAACAGAATTGCTTTAGTATTGATACTGCACATGGGGATTGCTTCTGGGTATCTAGTTACTCTATCCATAATAGTAAAAAGTACTGATTCCCAGATTTGGACTTAGTGAACCTACACAATCTATGATTAACTCTGCGAAAGGTTCTCCATCAACAGGTATAGGATGGAGAGGTGCAGGTTTAATGGGGTGTCCAGGTTTTCCTACTTGCTGACATTCTGTACAGCAACGGATATGATTCTTTACATCCTGCCTTAACTTTGGCCAAAAGAATTCTTCTAATATTCTATACAGGATTTTAGTAATTCCTAAGTAGTCTCCCAATGAAGAGTTATGAGCTATATTTAATATCTGAGGTCTAAACTTTTTTGGAACTACTAACCTTCCCTCTATTTCCTTACCAGTCTTAGTGCAGATTAAGAAGTCGTTTTTAATTTTATGTTTGACTGGGTGATCTGAGAAGGATTTACCCATTGCTGCCTGAAAAGCGAAATTTAATGAAGGGTCTTTTCGCTGTTCCTCCCTCTCTTTCCATCTCTTGGGCATGGAAACAAAGACATCTGGCAATCCAGCAACCCTAGAATAGGAAGGCTGATCTGGGTCTGTTCACTAAATTTACGAGGCTCTGGCCAGTTTTCCTCGTAAAACAAATTGGCTATTCCGAGATCAGTGTTGTCCAAGGATAGGTCAGCATTCTCATCAGATATCCCTTGGGATTTTGCCTGAGTTATGGCCAACATCGGAGAAGAATTACTCATTATTGTTTGTGGACACGTAACAGCAGTAGTAATGTTATTACCCAGTAATAACACAGCATCTTTCATAGAAAATCCATCAGAAACACTTACAGTCAAATATCCAGTGTAATATATACTCTGCAAATAAATTTTATGAAAGGGGACAGAAAACACTGCTCCTCCAAAGGCTTCTACAAGAACAGACGATTGTAATGAGGTGTGTTCAGAAAGGGGGAGTACTCCCTCTCATAAATGAGCAATATGCTCCAGTAACCCTAAAGGTTCTGACTTCAGTTTTTTATTTTTTTAATTTTCCTGAAGGGATATTTGACACTATAGTATGGGGCCATCACCTTCTCTACTTCTTTCAGGGACATGGCATTATAAATTTTCCATAATGGTTGGGGTTTATTTGGGCAGTTAGGTCTGATGTGGCCTGATTTATTACAGTGAAAGTAAACGACACCATTTTTTGACCTTAGTTCCTTGCTGACATTGTGGTTGGCGTCACTCTGGGTACTGATGTCGGGATACACCATGTTGAGTGGTTTGTCGCTCACCAGGGTGACCATGGGTTGAGTAGCGTGGCTCAACAGGTAGCTTATTTGGCTGACGTCATCGTTCTCCTTCATCTTGGCACTTCATCCTCCAATCAGGAACTCT